AAATTTTAAAACAAGCCCCAAATTAAATAAATAAGTAACACAAATAAAATAAATCTCTTCATATAAACAAACTAAGGCTTTGTCTGTGTTCTTTCCATTTAAAATTAGAGGCAACCACTGCATTTTAATCTTGATCCAAACAAAGATGCTGCATACATGCAACATGAGCAGTTTTTAATCTAAATTACATTGTATAATTTCTAAATTTGAAGCAAAAACAGAATGGTTTGACTTCAGTTTTGTGAAACTATACATAAAAAATATCTGCATGAAACAGAAACAGCAGACGAGCTGAACGAAACGCAGATTCATTCTCTGCCAACAGGTGGCGCTTAAAGCGTTTTCTTGGTTTCCACTGTAATCAAAGCAGTGCTGCACTTATGAACTTATGCAGGAGACTGCGACCATTTTTTCTGCCTGTTCGACTAAATTTTGTGTGCGGTCGCACTGGAGCGACCACCGCGTTGGTCAACTCATAAGCGCTTCAATTTCTGTTGCATATGAGAAACATCAAAGGGCAAACAAAACTGAAAGCATAACGAAACGGCGCTTAGAAAGTATACTCGCCGCGTCAGCACGAGCGCAAAGGTGCGCGCTGCGATGTTTCACTGTAGACATCGTCCGATGCCAATTTTGTAGACATCACCCAACCCTAGAACACACAGTATTGAATTTGTATGTGTGAAAATGAGGCTGTGAGGGATAGACTTAAATTCTTTACAGTGGCATGCACAATGTAGATCAAATGCATTTTACAAAAAAAAAAAAGTTTTGTCTACTGAAGGTTTTTTGCAAAGACGTTTTGTCAGCTAAACAACTGGCATGTTGTTAAATAACATCATAATCCATTGAACACACTTCAATTCTTTTTTTTTTTTTTTTTTCAAACACTTTTTATCATTCCTGTCAAAAATTTAATATGGTGCTACCCTGACCTAAGATCTATTCAGTGTGAAAGGAAAATGTTTATTATAAATATTACTTTTTACTTCGCTTACACCACTTAAGTCACTAAATTGAAACCGTTCTTGAAAATATAAAAATATTTAAAAACCTTATGAAATCAACATTATTTCATTTTTAAGAACTTGGAGCATGTGTTTTGAGCTACTTTTAAATAGTTTTTTCCTTCTATTTATTGTGGACACTTTTATTTGTCATTGATCCACCTATGGCATTGATAGGCTCGTGCAGAGGGACTTACTTGGGAAAAAAAACATTATTGTTGGTGGTGCATAACATCCCTCTGATGTGTTCTTGCAAAATATGTTATTGGATGAAGCCTAAAAAGCTTGAATTGCAAGTAATATATTTCATTTCACTGCAAGGTAGGTCAGCGAAAGAAACATTCCTGTTCTATTTTTCTGAACTTCCCTTTCTGTTCTCATCTCTAGGTACATGTTGGGCCGGGGGGTGAAACGTAAGCTGAGCACATGTGAGGACCCTGCCCAGGACTTGCCATATCCTCAGCAGAGGCAGCTGGTGCTGGACTTGTGTCTAGACAAGCTACAAAGCTGCCAGCGGCGAGCTGAACCTAGCCTGCACCGTTCGGTCCTGTTGGCCAACACCCTCCGCCAGATTCAGCAGGAGATGAGACGGGAGGGGGAAACCTGTGTGCCCTTAGACTGTCCTCCACCCCTGACCGGAGCACTGTCCCCTTCATTCCCCCTCATGACGGCTGAGGATGAAGAGGTCCAGTTGTGCGGCACTGAAAACGAGACACTTTTGCCATCCCTTGCTGGTGAGGATGACACAAGGTCGTCGGATTTGCTTTTCAGCTCTGAGATTACTAATTCCACCAGCTACTTGACAGACTTGCCGTTGGATGACATCTTTGAAGACATCGACACGTCGATGTACGACGACTCTGACATTTCAGTCCTGGCGTTTCCTGCACAGAGAAGCAGCGGGGTGGACGATGGCCTCAAGACCGTTTCATGCTGCACATCCAACAGCAGCCTACAGCTCTGTCTCTCAGACATCAACGACCTGGACCACATCATAGAGATCCTGGTGCGCTCCTGAACCACGGCTCGCACCACAGTGTCCTCATTCAGCCATCCCAATGTTTTCTATGGGAAATGAATAATACAATGTGTTTTCTTAAAAAATTATTATTATTTTTTTTAAATCTATTTTTATACAAAGGACTGATATATTTATATATATAATAAAAGGAAACCACCTGACACACTCTCACTGTAGGATAAATGCACATTTTTAAAACTTTTCAGATGGTCGAGCTTACGCTGCCATCCTTCATATTTAAGCAAACCAAGATATGAATATGCAGGGACTTCGGAAACGAATACAAAGTATTACCATTGACGCTTATTTATATTGGATACTGACTCGGTTGTATTTAAAACAAGGAGGAGATTGAAGAAAAGTGGATCGTGATGGATGCTCCATAGCTTTTGATGAGCTAAAAGACATTTATTTTTTGTGATCTCCACTGTATTCTGAAGCATTACATTTACTGTCAGTAATTATGATAATCAGATCATGTCATGCACATGCAGCACTCACACTACCTCTCAAAATACCAAGACCTCTTTCTCTATACAAAGACTATACTATACAACTGTATTTTGTTTCTCTCCAATAACTTTCAAAACTGCTGATTGTTTTATATATGGCTCTCTGTTCACAGGAAGGCCTCTCCTCAAATGTTAGGACTCAGTCCAAAGCTATAGCTGTAGAAGAAAAGCTTTTGTCTCGATCTTTCTATTCAACACCTTCTTTTCGAAACGTTTCTGGTTTCAGAACGAGCTGTTGCTTGTGTAAAAAGTGATCTATATTTTCTAATCACTTGGAATTTAATGCTATTTCTACTTTTCATGTACATGATTGTCAGACACACAGCCACCGTCGAATCCCTCGTATGAATATAGTGCCTACAACGGAGAATGAAGACTGCCGACGATGAACTGCACACTGTGGACCCGCACATAGACTTGCCTGAGTTTGCGCTCCTTAAGTGGGTTGTTTGCCACTTTTTGAGCATTTAGCATGATCCTCTGTCCTCTAAAGAAGCCATTACCCGAATGTGGGTCCACATCTCCTCTCTGCTGTCCTTCATTGTGATCTACACTGCGAAAAGCTGATCGTGGATGTCTGTGGATGCCTCTCGTGATGTCTCGAGGACCATTTCTGAATGTCCAAGCTTACTTGTGCGGAGCAGAACTGATGTCTCACCTGCTTGCTTTTTCCCTTCATCACGAGCCATTTCCACCACAACTTGGTTATTAGTTACTACTCCAATGTGTGCGGTGGTAGACCAGAGCAAGGCCCTTGGTTTCTGACCTGTATTAACATCCACTGAACATTAAGTTGCTGCAATCGAATGCGAAAGAGCCACAAGCTGCTGTCTCCATTAAGACTGGGCAGAAACGGGGAGGGGAAGAACCAGAGAGCCAGATTAGAGTTAAAGCAAACAGCTCCTGTCACGTGGAGAGCCGTGCTAGTGGTGAACGCTACATTGAGAGCTTGACAACAGCCGGTATGTGTGTGTGCTCACACCAAGCCCTGCCCCCAGTGAGGCCCCAAGGGGCTTTGATCTCCTCCTGACCAATCATTTTAGTTTAAGGGAGGAGCTTTGTTCTCTGTCTGCTTTATGTGGAAAAGAATAACAAGTGGAAGCGGTTCAATTTGGTCTGTTAGCTCATGGTGGAATGTCTTCCTTTGCCTATGGATGACTCCCTTTAATCATTAGTGGCTTGAGACATTTATGGTCTGAATTTAAGTTAAATGTAGACATTCCAACTAAAATGAGATATTTATATAATTTAAGAAAATACTAACTACGGCATTTGAGGTATCAGCAGAGAAGGGCCTTTTGTGTTGTGTTCGGAACTAACATGCTCGTACCCCTTTAAACTCCCACCCTGCCTTTCCCGCTCACAAGACACATGCACCGCTACAGAGAAAACCTGACACTTGCAATGTTTACACTCAGATTTTAGATCATTTTTGCTCGTGTATGATGGTAACCATAAATCAGAGAGATTGTACGGTGAGACCATCGGCGTTACAACAGCGACCTGTTTTTAATGCTGAAAGATGTGGATCTAATGAGTGTGTAGCTTTTTAAGCTTTGTAAGCTTGATCAGTTTGTTTCTTTTTCTGTTTATTTGTGTTGTGTGTGTGTGTGTGTGTATATATATTTTACTTGTGTTTTGATGTTTTTTTTGTTGACTGAAGATCATGAAATAATATATTTCTTTTATTTAAGAGTGAGATATGATCAGTAGACTTCGGTCTTTTGGAGGTTTTATTTGTTTTTTGAAGTGTGATTTGTACTTCACCTCCTCTTAGTAATAATTAATGTGTACATATATAATGCAGAATTATGAGAGGTGTTTATCATTGGAATTTTTTGTAAAGGTTTCGATCTGTGCTGACCACGATGGGATCTTCTTTACGGTGAGTTCACTTCCCTTTGGACCAGGCATTGAAGGCAGTTTTTTATCATTTTTTATGCTAAAGTGGTTAAGGAGGAGAGCTTTCAGTTGTCGGCCTCATTTAAATGTAATGTCTCCTGCTGCTTGAGTTTCAGTCTCTTGAAGGTCATTTGTTTCACAATAATCAGCCCCAGGAGCCTGTGGATTTAAACTAGTGTTCATTATGCTTTAGTCTAGGAGCATACATTGCAGTACTGCATAGAGCAGCAGTGAAAAGTGGTTTACACTGTGTTGTAAACTTGTGAACGGCTTACTCAAATAATGCATGGTACGTTTGATGTACCGGTTGCACAGAGAATACAAAAAGCAGCAAGAGTTTGTATTATCATGGTCCTTCTCAAATTTGCTTGGTTATGAGGCACAAAACAGCAAGTTTAAAACATCACCTCATCTTGTTAATTTGGCAGTTATTTATTTTATAAGATGACCTTTTTTATTTTAATTATCCTAATGAAATTGTAATGTCAGAAACCTCAAAATGTCACTTTGTCCCAAGTGCAATATGAAAATATGAACATAAGCGCGCTGTCTTGCCTAATTGCAAATGACACAATGTAGTAGGCCTGTATACCTTTGAATGAATAAATGGCTAAATGTTGTTTTTTTCCAATGATGACTTTACACCCTACATTTTGTTTCTTCACCCAGAAACTGTCCTTTGATCTGTTTTGACCGCAGATTTTTGTGGGGTATGTAAATAATAAAGCATTTTCTTTTGCAGTCATATTCTATGCAATACATTGTAGCAGGTCAGTATGTCAAATAAAAAATGGAAATAGAAACGTGTTATGTATTTACTCAAGATCTACAACCAGTCAAGCACACCTTTTAAGTGATATAAAACGGACAGTCAATATGGAGTAAGCAAGGCAGTTAAAATAAAGAAAAAATAGGGACATATGTCGCCCCCTACAGGCAAAATCAATTAAAGCATGTGAAGGGAGATCGACTCATTTTCTCGGAATTATATGCTGTACAATATCTTTCAGATACTGCACAAACATAAATGGTATATAAAACCGTGATACAAAGGTTATCACTTAAGTCTCATATAAACAAGCAACTTTGCATTAAAGATGAGTTTTAAACCATGATGCAACTCATAAAAATGAAGTAAATGTTAATTGCTTTCCATGGATCTATTTGTAAAATTAGAATTCAAACTCTAAGATGGCTATCTGGAGGCCGTCTGCACTTGGATCGAATTGCTCGCAACAAACAGATGCATTAATAATGCAACAACATGTATGAAGAAATCTGCTCTCCACCACCCCAATAGTGTCTCAGCCATCTTACTCTTATTTAGCCATTTTATTTTATTTTATTTTATTTCTCTCTCAAACAGCTGGTGTTTAAAAGTGCTTAAGTATTTCAATTGCCATGTTCTTCCTCATACACCACTGTGTGCACCTCCGTCTGTCTGTTTGGTGGGTAGGCTACAGAGCAGCACTCCTCCTGGGATATCACTGCAGTTTGCTATGCTTGATAGCAACTGCCAAGAACAACAAAGTCAGCATAGGGGTAGAAGACAAATTTGACGGACACAGGAAAACACCAATATGGCTCTCAAAGTCTTCCTCGTTGTGATATGGCAACAAGATTGTGGTTCTCAGATAAATGTGATGCACATCTGATAGTATTCTTATTGGATTAGACTAGTTTATTTTATAGTGTTGTTAAATTATTAGGTAACATAAAATTTTTTGTCTCGTTTGATTAAAAATACTCAAAATTTTTCATTTTTTAATAATTATATTCATTTGAACAATTATGAGCATGTTTATACAATGTGTCAAGGCTATACATTTTTTCATGTATTAATTTTACATAACATAACAATGTTGCACACAAAGCAGAACTACACACTTTTTTCCTGTTTAGCTGATCTGATGGAGTGCATGAGATGCTCACCTGTCAGTTTGCTCTGAATAATTCATTTGATTTCCTATGTTGGCTATTTACTTTCAGAAGGTTCAAAAGGAATCAAGAATAGTCTTTGTCTGTACTGTTTATACTCTGTTTATATTAATTTAAACAATTTATAAGGTAGGTATTTTGTCTTGTACTTTTAATTTACATAATACATTTCCTGGCAAGACAATATATAGAAAATATGCCAAACCCTTAAACAACATATAATGTCAAGACATTTAAAGATATTTTAGATATACACCTCAAGCATCAGAACAGGAGTGTTAGGGTTATACAATAATCATACAACCATAGTAGCCTAAACTCATGACTAAACTATTTCTGATATGTCAAACTTGTCAGTTCAGTTTATTTTACTTGTAGGTTAAGGCCAGATTTATCATGTTACTCCAAAGGGTGATCAGGCATGTTCCTTTGAAAGCATCAAAATCAAGATCTCTAATTTTATTACAGTGTGAGTTAAAGACAGTCAAATGCCAATAATAAAGAATCAATACATTTTCTAATACAATAGCATGTCTTATTGAAGGCCAGCCAGAGGATCAAAGATCAGTCAGCGCTCTTTACCTTAGCTCCACCTGCTGGACATACTCATGTACTGACGACTAAAAGAGAACCTGTCACAGTTTCATACAGACTGTATTCTTCCCACACATCTCATTTTCACACTTGTATTGGGATCATCTAATACCAGAAAAAAAAGAAGAAAAAAAACAGATTCATTTTGAAGTAGGGTAATATGGCTATGGTTTCTGTGTTTCATTCCCCTAGGAAAATTTACCATTGTGCATAGTAACAAGTTTAACTGCCGTATTTGTATTAAACCAAAGTAATCATATATAAAACCATTGGTAGCTCTTCATTATAATGGTAAGCTTGTATAATGTTGCTAAATATGAATGGCTATTTATAAAAAAGCAGACTAAGTCTAGTCATCTCATTTCTATTGAATCTTTTATGTCATGTATTTGAATATATTTTGTAATTACGGATTTGTAATGAAGCTACAGTTTAGTAGGCCAACATTTAAAATATATGAACTGTAATGTGCAATATCAAAAAACACTATAATTAAAATTATGACCAAGTACTCAATTATAAGTATAATAAAGTACACGTGTAGTACAGTTGAAGTAGATTTGTTTATCATGTAGCCTATACTTTTAAGATATAAATACACTAAGACTAAATGCACATTTAAGATATGCACATTCAAAACAATTAAGCGCTCTTGTTTTTCACAAAGGGAGCTCAGTCCAGTTGAGAAATGAGATTTATGGCTGGTATACAGTCGAAAGTTGAGGTTTAAGGAGGGTTTCTTCTTCCTTTTTTACTTAGGTAATGAGGATCTCTGGCCAAGAAGGTCCGCAAGTTTCTGGTTTCTAAAGGAAGCTTCTTCACCCAGTTCCGGTTCTGGGACTTTCTATGGGGGCTTAATAAAGGTCTAGGGGGACAGCTGCCGGCTAGTTAAGCGGACAACTAACCTCTCGACTGCCCCTTGACTATTTCCTCCCTGCCTCCTTCGGATTTCCTTAAGAGATTTGTTTTGTGCGTCTTATATAGGCATACTCGTTCGGTCCTTCACTGGTCCTGTTTAATCTCATGAATATTTATGCTACCATCGACGCAGCAAATCAGCTGAGCTCCTTCTGCATACGTTTATTGTGTAATTCACAAATTTACATCTGTCAATCCCTGCCGTACTATCCGGCATCCGCAGTTTATCGGAACATCTCAATTCCTTTAAATCACCTATATTCTGTCATGGCCAAATGGGGAGAGGGAGACCCGCGCTGGATTGTGGAAGAAAGAGCAGATGCGACAAATGTCAATAACTGGCACTGGTATGTAACACGTGCATGTCGGCAACAGCGTGTAAACCACAAGTTTTTTTCGCCCTTTTGTTAAAATAGCTGTATGAAGTGTCTCTTGATAGATGAAATTCTATTTTCCAACTTCATATTTATTAATCTAGATGTTGGGTTAAAATGCATAAATGTGTGGGGGGAAAGTATATAGATTATGTTACTGATTACAGATTTCAGCATTATGACCATTCTATACTTTAACTTCATCATTTTAAATTATAATTTTAAACTATTTAATATTCTGTCTCAATGTGCGGTCAAACACCATATAAAAACAGATTTAGAAATGTTTGAATCGAGAATGGCATATCATCTCACAGAAAACGTAAAAACTGTTTTATATTTTACAAATACTGCCTACTTCTGATTCTTAGGTTAGTTTTTCCAGTGTTTGCAGAAGCCTCTGGAATGTCCAGTAGTTGAATGTGAGGGGTTGGCACAGTCTATTTTTGGAAGTACATGAATGTGAGACAGAATTAGACTCCTGGTGTTCTGATGAAAAGCAAAC